TATGTATCTCGTATAAATAAAATGAAAACAACCGGGAGTCTTATCTCGCCAGCTGGCCTCAAATTTCGTACCCCCCCCCCCCAAAAAAAACAAATATACAAGAGGTCTTCACGTGGGCAATCCGTGGCGTATCACGTCACGCGAGCTTTCAACGTGAATTTATTATAGACGCGAGATTTATTTGCCACATAATATCGTATTATAAGTAATTAATTGGACGACGTAGAAGAATGACACGAGAGCGTCCCGGTAATGAATTTAGAGCGAACAGGCGTTCTCGCCTATTATATGGTACACTCGGATATATGAATGTTTCGCAAGTAACAATAGTTGCCTGAAAATATTAACCGCGGAAACATAATAAGCTCGAAACATTATTACCAGCGTTACACATGCATTATCATCGCTACGTATAGGAAATAAATGTAATCAAATATTCTTATAAAAGGCACATCACCGACGTATTTATATCTAATTAATATTTTATTGCCTTTTAAATATTTGACGCGAACATCGCAACCTTCTTCTTAGGGATTTAATTGGACAGAGACTCTTGGAGCTCTTACCGTACGAATGCGCGGTTCGCCGCGAATAACCAGCTCGCAATAACACGCGGATTTCCGGCAAGGTCTGCGATCCGAGAAATCGGAGCTGATTACGCGTTTCAGCTAGATCGAGGAAAGCCGTCCGGTTATCGCTTTGCGGCTCCATTTCGAGACGACGTTCAGGGCGATGTAATGAGTTACGGCGTCACGTTGGATTTGCAAGTGAGACGCGTCAACCAGTTGCTCAGTTTGAATTGTCTTTGCCTTTGGGCGGCCGGTTACACAATACCGCTTTCGATTTATCGTTCGATTTATTAGTTTCTCCTGTCTCGCTAATTACTTTCCCATCGCAGGAATTCTGGCACTGCAAAGCGAATGACTTTCGCGCAGCGCCGCGCGTACACACGTACAAGTTACATCGGATCTGCAAGTGAAAAGAGTTCCAACCAGTTGCTCCGTTTGTCCTGTTCTTCAACTCGCATAACTACTGTCGAATTCGAACTCGTTGTTCGATCTGCTATGCTCTTCCATTCAAATTGATCTTTGTTCATCAAACTCCACGATTGTCATTGAAATCGTGTATGTATGTACACTGATAGAAAAATATGTAGTATTTGAAACTATGATTGCATAGTAAAATAATTATAGTCAGGAATATCATTTTTATAGTCATTATTACTATAATATTATATTAGTAATAGCAACCATATGGACACAGTGATGCCAACTATTTAAAAAGTTTACTATAAAATATAAGCTTCTAACTATTATTCTGTTAAAATATTCAGGTAATGAATAGTAAATTAGTTAATTATTTTTATATAGTATATACAATCACAGTAACAGTAAATTTAACTACATTTCTATCATCCACCTTACTAATCCACATGGTGTACAAAAGAGAAGTGGTTCGGAATGTCCTCACTAGAGGGACGCGCGGTACAAGACTTTCTCGTAAGAAGAAAACCGCTTAGGCCTGTTACACAATACGTCGTATGTCGCTGTCGGATGTCGGG